CGCGAACACCTGCAGTCTGTTAAGGATCACACAAATTCAAAATTAGGTGAAAGGCGTTTAATGAAATCAGATCTAAGTCGTCCGCAAAAAGGTTAGGTCTTTCATCAACAACAAAACAAGTTTAAACGAAGAAAGACTGCTTCATATAGAATTAAGACAGCCCAACACAAAACAACCTCCCCCTCCCTCACATAATAAGTATACAAACAAACCAAAATTTACACGGCACTTCAAAATAAAAAGGTACAGGATAAAGAGGTACCTTCGGAAACCACAAGTAAGCTAAAATAAATGTCGAGTAATCCATATGAAAACACATTTCGGTTGCAGAATGACAAACCAAAAAAAGTTTGGTTGCCTCTATAAATCAACCTTTCCCTAATGAAACAATAATAAAATTTGCGAGAGTCAAATTAGCTGTTACTGATACACAGTGTCAATGTGCCAATCTCACCAAACCCCTGCCAGTTAGCGAAGATCGAGCAAGTTTCTAAGCCTACAGCTCTGCGGTCCTCAAGCTGTGAAAAGATTAGAGCGCTAATATGAAAAATTAAAATAACTCTCTACGACACACATTCAAAAAATAATCATGCTTCAGCGTGGAAAAAGAAACGAATCTAATTTTGGCAACTCCTTAAAAGACAAGATTAACGCTTTAAAGAAAGCAGGGGAACTTTAACCTGTACTTACTGGAATGAGGATCAATAATAAGTATAACCAAAAAACTCTTGAAGGAAAAAAGCAATGATAATTACATTATGTAAACTTGAAAGTACGAAGGAAAACAGAATCGACAATAAAACGTCTGATAAATTCAAAAGAGCCCATAATACGTCCAAGGCAGTTAGAATGAAGTCAAAAGAAGTTAAAAACTAGTAAAAAGGTATTCTTCGAAACAGTGAAGCAGTGAAATCCAAATATTAAACAAAATATGTTACACAGGACACAGAAAGGACGTAGATCAATACCCATAAATGCACAAGATTGTAATGAAGGCCACTATGCGAACAATTGAAAATAATATATATCACCGGAGAAACAAGAGCATACCTTAGAACTACTATAGTCTTTTATTGCAGTTTGTTTAAAGGTGAATCTGCACCCTTGGTTTTAACTGAATTCCACCAGTCACGAACAAAAGACGGCAGAGGGGTAGAAATACGAAATCTGGATGAAGACTCAGGAGACTCATTCTGTGCAACGCCTAAAAATAAATTTGTTTTCTTAATACTGCAGTTTGACCTTAGCACAAAAATAAATTGAATGTTTTGAAAATATGAAACACGCAAAGAAACAACTTTTGAATCACTTGAAGAAACTTTACCTTTTATACCGAAAGTTGAAGTTTCTTTACATGGTTTAAAAGTTGAAATAAAATTGGTATACTTTTAGGCTAGACTGAAAGCCCAAAGATCAGTTTTGAGTGTTGATCATGTGTTTTATTGACCCGCTTCTTAAACTTAACAATCAAATGAAGCACTAAAACAGAACTATCACCTTTTCTTCTGTTGTTTATGCTTGCTGTAAACCTTCCTCCTCCGTCGCTGTCTTCAGTTACTTCCTGAGCCGATTCTACAGCACTCCTTTCCCTGATGCTTTCCTGTAATGCGACAGGAGTTAACCATTCTTGTGGTAAGCACCGTTCCAGAAATGGTATTGATCCAGAAATTACTGCCAGTCGATTAACCCATGGAGGTATATCTTTATCAGTTAATGTCTGAAATACTGTTAGATTATTGTCCAAAAACTAGTAAAACTGAAGAAGGCGAACGACACACAATGCAAGGCGATATTTTTACTTTGATTGCAAAGATAACATACCTTAGCTAAAGCAGACGTAAAATGGTTACAGTTTCTTGAGATAAGATGGTACTTATCTCCATGATATTCGTGCCCAAGAAGCTGTACTATATGCCGAACATCTCCTGGTGTAAAATCAGTCTCTCCAAGAAGAATGCTTTCCCTTGAAACAAATAGTTTTACAACTCTTGAAACAGAGTTTACACAATTATAAACCAAAACGTGCTCACTTCAAATTTTAGGTGGCAGAACAGTCTTCAATTAAAAACGTTCTAGACTGAGGCGAGAAAAGCAGCTAAAAAAAGGCCCCAAATTTAAATTTCTACAGTTTAATACCACAAAGACAAAAGGTAAAATATAAAATTAAACAATCGTTAGCAGTTTCCCACACATGTGACCAATGATTATTACCTAAACCTAAAATTTTCTCCTAGCTCTTCAGCGTCTTGAGGGGTATTTTCAAAAACTCCAGAAAATGCAAACGGATGACCACCGTAACCATACTCTAAAAATTACACATAGATTCTGAGAAAACGATTACTCAAAAAAAAAATTAAACTAATGCTGCTTTTTCATGGAAGTTTTCACAATGACGTAAAGAAGAACCACCAAGAGCAATAATTGAACGACGATAAGTGAAATTATGAAAGCAGAGCTGTGTTCCCCTCTATCTGGTATGCATAACTGTTCAAAAATGAGAGTAATATTTATTCCTTACCCACACCGTAAACCTCGATACCAGAATGGTAGATCCCAACGCCCAGCGAAGATGCATAATCATTTAACCAATACTGAAATTCACAGAATTAAAAAGAACTGCAAAACAACCAAATAATCAAAACAACTACCTCTCATTTCCACTTTCAACTGTCACTACAGAAAGGCAATTCTTTGAGTAAGCAGCAGTACTTTTAATAAAATTTTTAGAAGCCCTGTAACATAATATAATAAAAGTAAGTGACAGAACTTCTATAAAAACTTCACCTGAATGGTTAAACAGTAAAATATTAATTCGTTGAAATACCTGTCAATTACCTTTTGCAAGAACTTAGTTAATCAGGCAACTAAAAATTAGGAAAAATGATTATGCGTCAAACACTGCTGCTTTTTTAAGACGCACCACTCGCAGATTCCTTTTAGAGCATAAAACAATTTCTTCAAAGTCCACACGTATACTTCAGTAAC